AAATAGGATGGATTCAAATTAAAAAGCTTATTCTCAGTAAAGGAAACAATTAATAACATGAGGAGAGAGCCTACAGATTAAGAGAAAATCTTTACCACACACATCTCCGATAAAGCATTAATCTCTAGGATATATAAAGAACTCAAAAAACTTAACACCAAAAAAGAACAAAACAAAATACCCCAAATAACCCAATCAATAAATGGGCTAAGGAACTGAACAGACACTTCACTGAAGAAGAAATACAATTGATCAACAAATATATGAAAAAGTGTTCAACATCTCTAGCAATTAGAGAAATGCAAATCAAAAGTATTCAAAGATTTCATGATATATAAAAGTGCATATATCATTCTACTGTCATGTATAACTACTTAAAATAAATAAAAGAATTTAAAAAAATGCTAATGATTCACTTTGGATCATGGCCAAGTAAGCCTCTTGTTTTGTTTCTATAAACTAGGCATCTAATTTTATGAAAATAACCAATATGACCTACACTAGTTATGATTGTCAGACTTACCACAAAATTGTTTTTTTGGTTAATCTTAAAAATCGGTTGTTAAGTGTGATGTTTTACATCTATCCTCATCAAGGAAATGAATTCTATATTAATCTGATTAAGATTAATCTGATGAAAAGATGAAGTATAATTCATTTCTTAAGAAAGTTTTAAAGTCACCGTAAGATCATCCAGTACAGACTAACCATAGAGTCTGTAGAGACAATCTTAAGAATCCTTTTGGATGTCCAGGATCCACTGGATATCAGTTCATATCTATGTTAGTCAGCTTTTTGTTTCTGTGGCCAAAATACCTGACTAGAACAACTTAGCAAAGGAAAAGTTTATTTGGGGCTCATGGTTTTAGAACTCTCAGTCTGTATGTGGTCCACTCCATTGCTCCTGGCCCAAGATGAAACAGTACATCATGGCAGAAGGGTCCAGCGGAAGACAGCTGCTCAGCTCCTGACAGAATCAGGAAGCAGAGGGGAGAGGGTGAAGGACCATTGGGAAGATGAACTCTTCTAAGGCATGCCCAAAGTGACCTACCTCCTCCAGCCATGCCCCATCTGTCTACACTTATTAGTCAGTACATGCAAAGTAGGATGGACTGATTAGATTACAGCTTTCATAATCCAATCATTTTATCTCCAAACATTCCTGCATCAACATAGTTTCTAGAGGACAGCTCATAATCTAATATCCAAACCTTAAGTAAACCATGTAACCATATTTTTACAATTTATCAATGTAAATCAACTTTTTTTAGAAAATGGGTCTCACTATGTTGCCTAGGCTGGTCTTGAACTCACACACTCAAGTGATACTTATGTATTAAGCCTCCCAATAGCTGGGACTACAGGTGTGTACCACCATGCCTAAGATGAAACTACTTATTGCAGCATTCAAATAGATTAAACTTCATTAACTGGCTCAAGATATACTGGGAAGACCTTATATTCATAACCTTAACTATGTCAGAGCATGGACAGGTCTTCAGAGATGAGTAAAACTAGTCAGATGTCCTTATGAGGTAGACCAGTAAGGTAAAAAGAGCATAGGACAGTAACATGTGAGATCTTAGTTCTGAACTATTTCCTTTCTCTTTAAAGACTGAAGCAGAGAAATAGAGAGAGTATTCCCTGGGTCTATGGAAATCCATTCGTCATTCTAATATTCCTTCATGCTTTGCCACCCTTGATGGTTTATATTCTTATATCTTCTGATTTTGTCTTTTCTGAATCACTTCAAACTTTAGCCACTTGCCCAATCTGAGAATCGTCATACATGAATACGTTCTTTTTCTGGAATCTATGTGCTCTTTGCGACTTTGAGGATGAGAGAATGAGCTAAAGGGAGAAGGGGGCTGGAAGTTGAAGCTCAGAGTTGAGCTCTGTTTCTCTGCATTTTCTTACACCACTATAGCAGTGGGGGGTGGGGAGCCCTTTTGAAAAGCAGGCAACATCTCAAGTCCTGCACGTCTCAACAGAACTGAGTCTTAGAATCTGAAGAAGACATTGTTTGGACTTCTTATTACTAATTTCAGAGGATACTGGTCTTGCATACCAATGGAATCTCTTCTTTTTCTTCGATCCCTATAACAGAGTCTCTTCAGATAGATTAGTCTACACATTGCAAAAGGATTGCACTTTACAGCAGAGATGGAGGGTGGCCTTGGAGGAAGGCTATTGTTTATGATATCTGATGTGGGGAAGGAAAAGTGAATGTCCACTGTCTACTTAGATTGCATCAGAACACGAGCAAGAGGAAATACTGCAGTCTGCTATGCACAACTCATCTTCCCAACTTTCCTTGCTTTCTCTGACTCAGGGTTAGGGCATATACAAGAACTTGACCATGGGCCCACAGGACAACCAGACAAACTTGCAACAAAGATAATTTGCTACCTCTGTTTCCTTTTCTGGACCTCTTTCTTTAGAATCTGGTGCCTTTAGAGACCCCCAGAGTGAAGGGCTCTGGTTGTCTACACTAGTAGAACTTCATGTACTCCACCATTTCTGAACACTTCTCTTTTCTAAACCCTACTTCTCCTGTCTCCTGTCTTTCAGAGGTAGTGGAAAACTGGACCTTGGCTGTGGTGAATGGTGGGGTCTTAACATGCTGCCCTTTCACTGCTTCCAGATAACATTTTATTTTCTCAGGGAAGGGTGTAAGGAAAAATGGTAGAGTGGTTGGTAGAGATATTTTTTGAAAAAGGAACCATTTCAATACATATTATATGAGGAATTTACTAGAATATATGGATATATATATATTTTTTTTCAAAATTCCAGGTATAATGCAGAAGTATAGAGTTAACATTCACATTTGTCCATCTGTTCATCCATTCCAAGAATAATTATGGAACTCTCCTGTGTGCACTTGCACTGTACTATCTGATATATGTACTATGTGCTGGGAAGGAGAAGGAAAGAAACAAAGTTAAAGTTAAAAAGATAAATGACCGAGTCAAGGAATTTTTTGTCTGGGATTTATCACCAGGAGAGAATTTGACAAGCAGCTGGTACACCCATTGATGATCCTTAAGGAAAACAATACAACTGCTTCACAACCCATAAGGGCCACCAAGAAACACACAATGACATCTTGGTAAATCAGACTTCAGGGCTGTTTGTATAGCCTTTGGTTTTAGTAGTGGCTAGCAGGCTGTGTTTTTCATTAGTAACATCTCTTTTTGTGGGAATAGTGGTGTAATTGTGGACAGAAGTTCATGCCGAGTCCTATTTATAGTTTCTGTTGACTCATTAATGCTACCTTAGCAAAGGCTAGCTCCAGAGCCAGCCTTCTTTTACTCTATTAGTCAAAAACATTCTCACTGGAGTATTCTGATGAAATCAAAAGCAAACTGCAAAGCCCTCCTAGCAATTTGCATGTCAACCTTTTAAGGGGTGTAACATTAACACCCTCACACTCAATATCCCAAAGTACAACTGTTAAAGGTACCTGTGGTTCCCAGTGCCTACCAACAGGTAGTGATGGGTTAATGAAAAAAAAAAAAAAAAGAGTTTATCGGTAGTCTTCTGCAGAGTTAAACTACCAGTTGATCTGGAAAATATGTTAACCAACCTTCAGAAGTATTTCCGTTCCCGGAAGTCTCTCACCCTCTGTGACTATGCCCTTTGTGACATTTCCATACATGTAACCTTCACACTCACCACTTTGATTCCTACAAAGAAGTCATGGTCAGGGGTAAGTAAGACTGTGCTCGGTAGAGACGGTAAGGTAAGACTTTGAAGCTGCTGTACTTTTATCAATTCAGTCTGAAAAACAATCTCTGTGGTTAAGCATGTTAAATCCCCCTGTGTTTTCATGGCAGCTTGGCTAAAGGTTATTACCATGAAGGCTGGAGGGTGAGGGGGAGATAACAGACCAGAGAACTCTCACTGAAACGAGATCAAAGGAGTTAACTCATCCTCTATGCATCTTAGCAGAACCTCATAATCAGATACTACTCTTCGCTTCGTTAAACATATAGCATATAACAAAGCTACCAATGCCACGTGCTAGCAAGGACTGTAACACTAGAACTTTTGTATATTACTGAGGGAAATGCAAAATGGGGCATTTGGGAAAAAACAACTTGGCAGTTTCTTATAAAGTTAAACATATATGTAATAATCTCACTCCTACCTATTTACCCCAGAGAAGTGAAAACACACAGCTCTTGGCCAGGAGTGGTGTGTGGGGTAGACACAGAGCATTCTGGAAGAGGGAGCACTTGCACTCTTGCATGGAGGATAAAGAGGAGACAACAAGACAAAGCTGGAGATGTGGCTAGTGTGGGGCTTCGTGGGTTGTTGTGGGAATTTTGGCTTTTATTCTGCGAATGATGAGAGACTATTAAAATATTTTAAGCAAAAGGGAAGCATAAACATTGTGCCTTTTAAGCAGATCAGTCTGTTCACAGTATGGGGAATGGACTGGAAAGAGGCAATTATGGGACTGTGGGATGGTTGTTGAATTGTCTGGGAGAATTCATGACGGAGCTTGGGTTGGGGTTATAACCTTGGAGATGTTCTCTTTGAATTTCCCTGAGAAGATTTGCACTGGCACCTTTTATATAGTAACATTTATAAGAGACACAAATAATTACTTCTTTTAAAATATGTTTATCATAAAATGCTTGATATTTTAAAAAGAATTTATGTAGCATTAAAGTAAATTATAAAACATAATAGGAGATATGTGAAGCCATCTCTTTGTTCTAGAACTAGAACATTATTATCATGAAATCCTCTGTCCTAGTCTGTTTGCTGTTACTATATAACGAATACCACAGACTGGGTAGTTTGTGAAGAATAGATATTTTTTTTTTACCTCATGGTTCTGGAGGCTGGGAAATCCAAAAGCATGGTGCTGGCATTTGGTGAGGGTCTTCTTGCTGCATTATAACATGGCAGAGGCCGAACAGAGTAAGTGTGCTAGCTCTTGTCTCTTTTCCTCTTCTTATAAAGCCACTAATGCTTTCAGGGGACTCCACCCTCATGACTTCATCTAAACCTAATACCTCCCAAAGGCCCTGCTGCCAAACACCATTAACACGTGAATTTGGTGAGTAAGTATCCAACATACCAACTTTGGAGAATGTGATCTAACGTAGCACCTTTTGTAAGCAAGCCTCTGTACTCAATTTTAAAAAGGAATTGAAAACTGTTCTTGAATTGCAGTGATATCAGGACTTGCTATCCATTAGAGCCCATAAGCTTTGGAAGTGGCTGCCTCTGGAAGCTGTGGGAGGCCAAGCTGCAGACAGTCTGTGTAAGGACGTGGAAGAAGGATTCCCAGGAGAGGAGGGAGGGTGGATGACTTTAAAGGGCCCATTTTGAAATGCTATTTGCAGTGCAATAGAGAGCATGAAAACATGTTAAGAGCAAAGTTCTCAAGGGGCATTTAAAAACATGGGATGTTGGTTTTTTAAAATCAAATGTGGAACAGCTACTTTTTGGTAAGTCCCTTGATCTTAGGAACAAGTAAGATGAAACCATATGCATATATATATATATATATATATA